TCTAACTCATAGAAATAGTAGAAAAGTGGTTGCTAGGGACTGGAGGAATGGGGAAAATATGAAGAGATTGGTAAAAGGGTCCAGACTTTCAGTTATAAAATGAATAAGATCTGAAGCAGGAGTCTTTTCACAATGTACTCCTATATCCAATCCTATATCCAATCATCACATCGCACACTTTAAATATACTACAACTTTACTTCTCAGTAATACTTCAATAAACCTGAAGAAAAAGAACATTAAACATCACGTCTAATCATAATAATAATTATGACTCTTACATCTATCATAAAAATATTCCCACTCACTGGACAAAGGCTGGTTCTAATATCATTCTTTCAGAGAGAGAGAGTGTAGCTTAGCACATTTATTAGCCTTTTTCCAGGCTTTGTTAATGACTTCATATTTGATCTTTTGAAAGCTTCTTGGATTTTCCATTTAAAAATGGCACGTGTATGGCTCAGTTGGTTGAGCACTGACTCTTGATTTTTGCTCAGGACATAATCTCAGGGTCATGAGAATCAAACCCCATGTTGGGCTCTGACCTGGGCATGGAGTCCACTTAAGGTTCTCCCACTGCCCCTTCTCTTTCTGCACATGCACGCTTTAAAAAAAAAAAAAAGAAAAAAAAAGGCATAGCCCATGCATGTCTCCATGTTTTCATTATATAGTGTAAACACATTAAAGAGTACTCTATTTTTTTTTTAAATCAAGAGATTTAAATGATTTTGGAGGAAGAAATATACCAAAGTAAGCTGAACTCAAAAGTCTCTTTAAAAAATCTTCTCTAACTTAGCAAATAAAATCACTGCATCTCTTCTTTCATAAGGTCTCAGTTAAGGTCTCTCTTAACTAAATAGTATTACAAAAAAATTAGTGTTATAATAAAAAATGGTTTCTTAAAATGTCACCTGTTCAATTGTCACTAAAACAGAATACTTATTAAAACTGAAGATGTAACTTTTATCTCACAGACCTTTGCAATACATTAATATAATTCAATCTTTGAGGACTGTTAATTCTTCTCATTAAAAAATGACATGTCTCAATGACATTCATCAGTGGTTAAATTTAATCTGATTCAGTAATGGAGCACTAGTCAATTTTCCATGTGGCTGGCATGTGTCCCACCAAGTCACATGGGTATTGTCTATTGACTTACTATTCCCACTCCAATGCCCACTTCTCTATTCATTAGAACATAGTCCTTTCTAAAGTATGCCTTAAAACTTTAAATTTTCCATTATTTTGATCACAAAACCTTTTGCTAGCACCATGTTAGGACACGTTGAGAAACACAACAATACCATATTGCACCCATATTCTGAGGTTGCTTGAGGGACCATTTATGTCTATTATAAAACGCATTGTAGGCAGAGAAGAGAAAAGAACTAAGGAAGAAAAGGAGAAGGAAGGAAGGGAGAAAAAAATTTGAAAGTTCTTTAAATCCAATTCAGTTGAGAGGGAGATAAGGGTGGTTTTACACATACAGAATAAAAATTTAAAAATTGTTCTGTTGTATATATCTACTTAAAATTAATATCAATTTTTAAGTATTTGTCTTTCTATATACATTAACTTTAGAAAATATGAATTCAGATATTTAAAAATAAAAGAGAAAAGAAAAATCTATCTTTCTGGGAACAGAATGAGATATTCTTTCACATTTTTATTCATAAAAAATTTTTCTCTTGCAGAAACACTGGAATGACATAACCTTAAATAATTTTGATCAACCAAATGAAGAAGCACTCAGAAACATTCATTTTTATTTTACCAAAAACCAAATTATTGAGTAATTAAATGTACAAATTTTTGAAATCTGAAACATAATGGAATATAGCCATCCCTTCTACCAAGTTCTGTGCTACTTACTCTTTATGATAGATAACAAAAGATGGCAAAACTGTTATTTTCCTGGATAGGGAAAAAAAAAAAAAACAAGCTCCGTGGTGCCATTTTTTGGACTGCTCAAGGTTTCCTAACACAATTCCTTCTTAAAATATAAGAAACAATTTATTGATCAGTATCAAGATAAAAACAGTTACTATTTGTACACCTTAAACCATATTTGCTGTATCTTGTTCTATACTTCCGTACTAGGATTTAAAATATATTTATATTAAACAATTTTATATAATACTAAAATTCTACTAACAATTCTGAAAATAAAGGCTTTTGAATAATAAACTACATGTTCTTAACACCTGATAGTGGTTCCTAAGGTAAGGTCCCCCCACTATCACCAGCAGGCAGCCTCCAGGAACTTGTTAGAATTGCAAATTCTTGGACTACACTTCAAACTGACTAAACTGGAATGAAGGTGGGAGGAGTCTGCATTTTAACAAGCCCTCCAAGTGAGTCAGATACAAGTTAACCTGTGAAAATAGGTGATTTCAGGGGATTCTGAAAAAGGTCCACAGGAAACACTGAACCACACTCTAGCTCAGAATCACTAGTAGATCAACAATTCATAACCCCTTAGCTACACAGTGGGATCAACAAAGAGCTTTGAAAATACCTGGGTCCCATTCCAGCACCTGTTTTAATAGTTCTGTGAGGTGAGTAAGCCTGGGCCCTGGGACTTTTAAGTCTCCCAGGTGATTCTAAAATGCAGCCAAGGTTGAATGCCAATATCCAGAGGATTATATTTTCAAAAGAAACAGTACACTAAGAGTCTTAGATTAAGCACAGTTTGAAATGAGACATGAAAAGATGAAAGTTAGCCTTCAAAACCAAGATACATTCAAAATATCATTACAAAAAAAGAGAGAGAACTGGTTCACTTCAAGTCTGTAAATTTTACACTTTCAAAGGCTACACAAAATGTTCATTATATAGAGTGGAATTGTTTTAATAAATACATAATGTAGTTATGAGAGAGTAAAAAAAAAAGAGGATGTGATAGCCTTTGCCCTTATAGACCATCTAATATATTTAGGCATATTTCATAATAAGTAACAATAAAGTATAAATCTCAAATTTGGAGTACAGATTGAATGCAGAAGTCAATGGAGTAAGAAATCACATCTAATCATAGTCGTATTTAAGACTGTCAAAAAAAATAAGTTAGAACTTCAGTCTTTAAGAATCAATTACATATAAAGTATATGTGAGGCATATACATGGGTAGACCTAATGGGAGAAAAGACACACAGAGATCGTTGGAATTTTTGGAGGGAAGAGGGGACTGATAACATGTAATATAAAAGAACTTGGCTCATTGAGGGACTTCTCATGATTTGACTATTTTGACAATTTTCCCAAGGATGGTACATAACTGGTATCATTATAGAAACACAAGACAGATGTGAGAGAAGTTAATTCATTATATACACTGGATGCCTTGTGGCATGGGTCTCACCCTTAACATGACCCAGAGTCACCTGGAGGGCTTGTTAAGACAACCTGCTGGGCCTCACCCTTAGGTTCGGACCTTGGGTTAGGGCCCCAGAATGTGTAATTCTAATAGATTTTTACATGCTGCTGATACTGCTAGTGTAAAAACAACACCTTGAAAACCACTGCCTTGGGGCACTAAGACTCAATTCTCTGGTAGGATTCTCATGAAGGCTCACATAAAGTATATTCTCATTTTTATTTTGAAAGTCGTTCATACATTTAAGTAAATACAGAAAACAGACCAGTAGAAGCAGCAGCATCACCCTTACTCCCTCTACTCAAGACATTATCTTGGTTTGTTTTACCGCAGTCTTCCCTTTAGAAATAAATGGAGTATTCTTAACTATAAATACATAGGAACGTATGCAAACATAACCAACTGATACATGTCATGGAGGCCAAAAGGCGCAGCCAGTTCCTCAGATGTAGTATACTAGGGCAATAATTCTTCTCAGGCTCCTATGAAAAGATGGAATTTCTGCTGAGAGTACAAAAGGCTGTTCACAATCCTTTCATATCAAAATTAGTCTTGTGTATTAAACTTCAATGATCTGGCCTGACCACTTACAGTTTTGTTTTGTTTTTTTTTTTTCTTAAAGCTTGTAATTTAGGGGCACCTGGGTGGTTCAGTAGGTTAAGAGACTGCCTTTGGCTCAGGTCATGATCCCAGGGTCCTGGGAGTAGGCCCCACTTCGGGCTCCCTGCTCGGTGGGGAGCCTACTTCTCCCTCTCCCCCTGCTTGTGCTCTCTGTCAAATGAATAAATAAAATGTTTTTAAATTTTTTTTAAAAGCTTGTAATTTAGAAAAATTTACCAGCTTTTATCTAAATGTGAATCTCTTTTCAATGATTTTATCTGAAAGAGTAATTTCAGGTAAAATCTTGATTATACATATTGCAGGTTTGAGAATTTTTTGTTTTTAATAAAAGAAAGTCATCTTTAACTATATTGGACCATTATTTTTGTTCCGAGTGTTTGATTTACTCTCCATGAAATATCATTCCTTTGTTGGGTTCCCAGTATCCTTCTTTTGCATTCATTACCTCAAAATGTTTCTTCTCATCATTAAAGACTTCTTTGTAATTACACAGACATAAAAGATATATTTGTCAATTGATAGGAGATGTAGTTTCAGAGAACTTCATAAAGTATCCAAACACTTTCCTTAAGGTGAGATTTTGAGCAACAGATACAATTTAGGCAAACACATCCCCAAGACTCAGTCTAAAAATCCCTTAACATTCCAGTTTCTTTTCTGAATCTGTTGAAAGCAATCAGTTCATTTATAAGTAGAAAAAGAGCTCCATGTAACAACAGTAACAAAAAATCCAATCCGTTCTGTTGGTTAAAAAGGTTTGCTAATTCAAGAAACTAAAATAGTATATATCGTAATTAAGAACATATTCCTTTGGGTGGAGATAGTCTAAAAGTGTACAAGCACATGCTATATTCTAAACCTGCAAGGCTCCAAAATCTAAAGAGGATTTCATTTCAATGAGTTTTGCTAAATCACTTTCATTGCCTCACTTCTGATTGACAATGATTAACTTATTTTTAAAAAACTCACATATCAATGATGGGAGTAACAGTCTACTTACTCCACCCATTGTAATTCCATGAATAAGTGCAACATATGGTTTCCGGCAAGAATCTAAAGAAGAAGAAGAAGAAAATTATGATGTTTAAGATACATTCACTTTTTCTAAATATCACATTACATGAACACTTAATATTTTCCTCAAGAAATTTTTGTAAGAAATATCAAACTAGTGATGCCTGGGTGGCTCAGTGGTTGAACATCTATCTGCCTTTGGCTCAGGGCATAATCCCAGGTCCCAGAGCAAGTCACATCGGGCTCCCCATGGGGAGCCTGCTTCTCCCTCTGCCTGTGTCTCTGCCTTTCTTTCTGTGTCTCTCATGAATAAATAAATAAAATCTTTTTTTTAAAAAAAGAAAAATATCAAAGTAGCTAAATATATGGCTTGTAAAATGTGTTCTTTTTAAAACGTTGATCTGTACACAATCCGATCATGTATTTATCATTTAACAACTCAACATTTCAATTTGAAACATATGAAAGCCTTTTATAGATCAGCTATGAAAAATATAATTAAAATTTACTTTCTAAACCATGGATGTTTATGTACACAGTTGTATTTTTAAGGAACGTAATTCGTTTTCAATATGTCTAAAGCATTTGGATACAAAGAGAAGTGCAGCATACAGTAAAAAGTAAGGACTGGGAGTTAGAAGACCCAGATTCTAGTCTCATATTTGTCATTAACTGGCAAATCAACTATATTCAATATACATACTAGCATTAGATACACACACACACCCCAATAATGCAAATTCAACATTTATCCTAGCATTAGGTATACGTACACATTTAAACATACCTGAGTCATGTGCATGTCATATATATGTGTAGGATATATAAGTAAGTTTCCTCAGCAATTAAATAACGAGATTTAATATATGGCCTCAGAAGTCCCTTTCATCTAAAAAACTCTATAAAATTTTACTCTGTTCCTTTCCTTTTTTCCTTTCTCCTCTGAGAAGGGGAGTTGCTTATAACAAAACAAAAATGTAAATCACTGAGCTTCTGTTACTGCTTGTTGTTGCCAATATTACTTCCTTACCAAAGACCAATATAAAAACTCAGTTTTTTTGGCTTCTGTTTTAGACCCTTTTTTGATTACAGTATTATAGACTGTAACAATACAATGTTACATTAGTTTCAGGTGTACAACACAGTGATTCAACAGGTTTATGTACATTATGTTACGCTCACCACAGTGTAGCTCTCATCTGTCACGATACAACACCATTACAATGCCATTGACTATATTCCCTGTGCTGTACCCTTTTATTCCTGCAAGTTATTCGTTCCATAACTGGAAAACTATTGTTCACACCCCCTTTCACCCAATTTACTTCTACCTCCACTCCCCTCCCCTCTGGCAACCATCAGTTTGTTCTCTGTATTTATGGGTATATTTCTGCTGTTTGTTTATTCATTTGTTTCCTAGATTCCACATATAAGTGAAATCATATAGTATTTGTATTTCTCTGATTTATTTTTTTTAAGATTTTATTTATTTATTCATGAGAGACACAGAGACAGAGAGAGAGAGGCAGAGACACAGGCAGAGGGAGAAGCAGGCTCCCTATGAGGACCCTGATGTGGGACTCGATCCCAGGACCCCATGATCACGCCCTGAGCCAAAGGCAGACGCTCAACCACTGAGCCACCCAGGTGTCCCTCTCTGACTTATTTTATTTAGCACAATACCCTCCAGGGTCCATCCATATTGTCACAAATGACAAGATCTCATTCTTTTTTATAGCTGAGTAACATTCCATGCAACGTGGAAGGATAAAACTGCAGTTTCAACCCATCTAGCAGTTCTATAAGTATTTCTAATTTGCCAAATAAGCCATCAAGGCACAACTCTAGAGTTTCATTCTAATTTCATATTTGCAAGAACTTACATAGCCTTCAATCTTGAACTATAATTACCTTCAATCTTGAACTGTAAACTATAGGATACTATAATTCTCTAGAAACTATAAAAAAGAAATTTCTCGGGGCACCTGGGTGGCTCAGTGGTTGAGTGTCTGCCTTTGGCTCAGGGCGTGACCTCGGGGTCCTGAGATCAAGTCCGCATTGGGCTCCTACAAGGAGCCTGCTTCTCTTTCTGCCTGTGTCTCTGCCTCTCTCTGTGTATCTCTCATGAATAAAATAAAATAAAATCTTTTAAAAAATTTCTCTATTGATTGGGATGGAGATACACACACACACTCCATTTCAGCTGTATGTGTATATATATATATATATATATATATATATATATATATACACACACACACACATAAAATCACTATATATATATATATATATATATATATATATATATATATATATATATATATATATATATTTCAGCTATGTAATATTAGAAGCTACCTGATGCAGGGCATAAAGCCAGAATCTGTCAAATTCCTTACTAAACAAAATACATCATTACAATGTATTGATATTACACCTTGAAGGTTTTCTCTCTGTATATTAATATTTTACCAAACTCTTTAAACTGTTTAGAGATTTTCTCTCATATCCTTTTATTTAGTATAGAACTGCACTAATACAGTAGCCACTAGCCAAAAGCAGCTATTGAAATTATAATTAAGTAAAATTTAAAATTCAGGTTCTTGCTCACACCATTCCAAGTTCTCATTAGCCACAGGTGGCTCATGGCAATCGCACTGGACTGCACAGATATGAAATATTTTCATCACTGCAGAGGCCCTGGTATAAATTTTCAAAATGAATAAGCCATTCTAAGTAAATCTGATACACAGAAGTTCAGACTCAAAGAAGTGAGAGATGTCCATTCAACCTGGCTCACTAAGCTCAATCAAGAAATAGCCTTTTTTCCCCTACTCCTACTTTAAAGACATAGTAATTCCAGGGGTAAAAAAAAAAAAAAAAAAAAAAATGTACTCCAAATTCAAAGCCAAACAAAGGAAATCCACCAGTGCCAGAATAAGCTCAAAATCAATAGCTGAGTGAAGCTATAGCCAGTGATTGTAGTGAATATATATTTGAGTCAGAAATAAATTCTGGCCCACATATCTTATGAAATGGACTAACTGCATAAAAGCTCATCTTTATTAGTTTCACAAAATATGACTAGGAAAACTATCTGCTGGGCCAGGAAGTCAATAAATTCCTTCCAAGAAAGGAAGAGAAAAAGCCAGAGAAAGTGGATGCTCAAGCCCTAGATAATAAGGATTACCACTACCACTGAACAAAAACAAAACAAAACACCCCTAACAAATTTGTAATAGAACTAATACCTGTAACTTGGTTTTCAAAAGTGTCTACAAAAAGACTACACTAAAAATTAAAAGTTTAAATGCTTTCCCACGGACATCAGAAATAAGACAACACTATAATCATGCAATATTTTAATAGAGCTCCCAGCCAAAATATGAGAAAAATCATAACATAAAGACTGGAAAGATAGAGGTGAAAAAAATTATGTGCAGATGGTATAATTGCCTATGTAGAAAAGCCAAGAGAATCTACAGAAATATTAGAATAACAGATTTCAGCAGAGTTGGATATAAGAACCAAATTTAAAATCCAAAGCACTTTAATATACTAAAAATAGTAAATTACAAAAAATGTAACAGTAAAATTACCATTAATGTACTAATAATAATAAAAAAAAAGCATGCTACCTAAGAAAAAACTTTAAGAAATAAAAAAAAGGCACCAACATCTTTATGGGAAAGTTATAAAATATCATTAAAGGACATAAAAAGTGAAATCTGGGCAGCCCCGGTGGCTCAGTGGTTTAGCGCCGCCTTCGGCCCAGGGCCTGATTCTGGAGAACCGGGATCGAGTCCCACGTCGGGCTCCTTGCATGGAGCCTGCTTCTCCCTCTGCTGGTTTCTCTCTCTCTCTCTCTCTCTCTCTCTCTCTCCCTCTCTGTCTGTCTCTAATAAATAAAAAAATCTTTAAAAAAAAAAAAAGTGAAATCTGATGAAAAGTTCCAAACTGATTTAGAGTGATAGTTACACAAGTTTACTAAAAGTTACTGATTATATATTTGAAATGCATGAGTTTTATGGTATGTAATTATCATTCTGCAAGTTTTTAGGTCTGCATAAATAAGGAGATATGCCATATGCATAGATGGGAGGACTCAATATGAAAGGTGGTAGTTCACCCTAAATTAATCTATAATTGTCATTCAATCAAAACCTCAGTGGAATCTTCTGTGGAGCCAGACAAAATAATTTAAAAACTCATATGGAAGATCAAAAACCCAAGAGCAGCCAAGACAATTCTAAAAGAAAACTAGGGCAACTTATACTATCAGATAGAAACATACCTTAAAGCTGTAATAATTTTGACATTGTAGTCTCATAAGTATAAATAGACCAGTAAACAAAGTAGCCCAGAAACAGACCAGGTCACACATAAGAACTTGATATATGACAAAGGTATCATTAAAATCAGTGAAATAGGCATGAACTTTACAATAAAAGGCATTACAACATATCTGGCTTTCTAGCTGAAAAGTAAAAGTTAAATGATGTCACATGCAAAAAAGCAATTCCAACTACATTAAAGACAAGTATAAAGAAAACACTGAAGCTATTAAAAGAAAATATGAGAACATCTTAATAACATCAGTGTTATTAAGTGGATTTTTTAAATGCAAAAAAGCAGAAATCATATAAGAAAACAATGGATACATTTCAACTCATCAAATAAAAACTTGTGTATACCAAAAGATAAAGTAGCAGAGGGAAGTGTTCTTGCAGTATGTATAATCTACTGAGTAAGGAATCCAGAACATATAAAGACCTACACCATCAGTAAAAAAAAATCTAACAGAAAGATGAACAAAGAAAGGAAGAGAAGAAAACTTAAATGATTATTTATTTATTTTTAGAGATTTATTTATTTATGAGAGAGAGAGAGAGAGAGAGAGAGAGAGAGAGAGAGAGAGAGAGAGAGGCAGAGACACAGGAGGAAGGAGAAGCAGGCTCCATGCCGGGAGCCTGACGCGGGACTCGATCCCCGGACTCCAGGATCGCGCCCTGGGCCAAAGGCAGGCGCTAAACTGCTGAGCCACCCAGGGATCCCCCCTAAATGATTATTTAACACAAGAAAACACCTTCTATTTCACCAATATTCAATGAAATACAAACTAAAGTCACAATAAGATATCAGACATGCAAAGTTTAACACAAAAAAATGATGGAAAGGACATACAGAAAATAAGGTCTTATACTTTAGAATCTAGAAACAACTGAAGACATATAAACTATGATTCATCCATTCTGCTTCTATTATTTCTAGAGAAACTATTGTATATTCACTAAGGGAACATACATAACAATCTGTATTAGTAAAAATTTGAAATAAAATATCAATTAATGTAGAACAAATAAGTCCTGAGGAGATATTCATAATACTATGGAACAGTTACATTTCATGTTATTAAAAACTTTGAGTGATATATACAGTAAAATATTACTTACATCAATTTCAAAAACACAAAGTAATAACATTTGTGTTCATAAGTATGTAGTAAAAATATTAAGTATGGTCTAGTAAGATACACTAAAATTAAAAAAAAGTTAAAAAAAGACACTAAAAATTAATAACAATGGTTGCTTCTGGGGAGAGAAAAAAATGACACTGAGGAAGCAACAAACTGGACTAAAGTTTAAAACCTGTAGTATTCTTTTTCTTTCAAATAAATCTTAAAACAAGCAAAAATAAAATATTAATGTCTGTTAATCCTAGAAAGTGGGTATATAATTATATTATCCCCTGCAATTTAATAATTGAAACACATGTTTGATCAAAGTACTGCTTTCACTTCCAGTGAAATCTGGAACATCAACTATGAAGACACTTTCATCCCAGAGTTCCTTAAGAATTAAGAAATGGTACTTTATTTTATGTAGAAAACTGAAACCCAAGTTTTTTGTTTTCCAGAAAAGCCAATCATATGATCAGAATCCATGTGTTCATATTGGTCATAGGACAAATAGTAATTAAATACAGCTTACTAATATTAAAGTGTGAATTGTCCTGGAACGAGCAGAGTAGTTTAAGCAGCTTTATTTATGCCTGATATACAGTATATAAAAGAGTAAATAAGTGTCTACTGATACATCTTAACAATACTGTGCAGCTTATTTCTTGATTCCATTTTCAAAGCTCTCAGAGCATACCTACCAATGGCATTGTTCAGCACATATTCTTCTCTAAAGAAATCTTGAGCTATCTTCTGGTTTGCCTTTCCACCTTCGGAGATCACTACAAAAAAATTTTTTTTAATTTTAAAAACCTTTTGAAATTTTTAAAAAGTGCTTTCTAGTGGGGCACCTGTCTGGCTTAGTTAGTAGAGCATGAGATTCTTGATCTCAGGGTGTGAGTTCAAGCCCTACATTGGGCATAGGGATTACTTAAAAATTAAAAGAAAACTTTAAAAAAGTGTTTTCTAGTTAATAAAGCCAAAGAGAATAAATTTAAAATATTGTGATATTAAGTACTAGGGAAACTCTAGAATGGTTTATTAAGGTTTTGAACAGTCCTTGCCACAGGCACAATTAGTCCCAGATCTATGGGCCAATGTCAAAACTTAAAGGCAAAAATTCTTAAATACTTCTTACAAAGCGTTATACTTAATTTAGAACTTACTTATTGCTACAAAATTCATTTTGACTTTTTTCTGTAGCACCTGAATAAACAGTTGTTGGATATACATTTCCAATGGTAATATGTCTTAAAACAAGGTACATTATTCATACAAACAGAAATATAAGCACATGCATGCATGTACATACACAGTTCTAAAATATATACCATCTATTCAAATATTTCTGCCACATTCATTTCACCATGAAACATTTATTGAGCATCTACTGTACTCCTATTCCAGTCAATGGTAAGACTACCAAACCATTCTCTTCCATATATTGCAAGTTCATATGTCTTTCCTGTCTTTAAGTCTTATGAGACAATCTATTGTCTATTCAAATTCAAATTCAAATATAAACATATCTCTTCTTCTATGGGAAAGAGTTACATAAAAAGTATTGACTATAGATTTTTAGATTAATTTCAGAACTTTGATATATCTGCCTTCAAAATGTTTCAAATGTTCACTTCTTTTCCTGGTTTTTAAAAGAAAGATTTGGTGTCTATTTTTGTCATTCTGGGGCTTTCACTGATATATACCCACCTCCAAGCCCTCATCTATTGTTTCTTAGTCAATCCTTACCATTACTTAGCAGTTCTAAAAGGACAAGAGTACGAATTATATTGCCTATGGAATAAAGCTCTTTTACCTCAAAAGTCATCTTTGATTTCCTCTTTATTTTATTCTAATCAATTGCTAAGCTAAAATTAAATGACATTTATAATAGCATTTAATAAATTTTTTTCTAAGTGCCCACTTATCATTTTGGACTATGATCTTTAAAACAACTAAATTTCCTAGAATTGAAGATCACACCTTTATACATGTAAACTAAAATAAATCTGTCATTTATAACTGTATTTCCAAACATCAACATAAAGTTAGGCCTATATGCAAAAACAGTTCACAGTTAGAAGAAGCTAAAAATAATACATAAGGCTATGCCCATCTGTAAAATGACAAGACCACATGCCCAACTCCAGAAGATAGGTTAGCTCCATGCTGGAAAACAGTATTTTAAAAATATTCATGTTGCGGGCAAAACAAACACAATTCAGTTAACAAATCTATCTAAGCAACTGAAAAATTTAACAATTAAAAATAGAATAAAAACTAACAGAATTTAAAATTAAAATTAAGATTCAGACTTTAAATTTACTAGATATCTAAAATTATGCCCTAAATCGAGCTTGTTTCTTTCCATTCCAAATATAACGGTTTATGTAAACTTGCAAATTTGGTAAATAAATCAATCCGATAGCACTGCCTTTAACATAATACAAAAAACATATATATATGTATATATACACATATACACATAAAATAAAAACCCAAAGGAAAAACCATCCCTGGACTCCACCATTTCCATAACAAACAAAATACAAAATATGAAAACAGTTTTTCAGTATATATAAAATACTGACAACCAGTGGGGATAAGTACATGACTTTGATCCTGAGACCAAACATTTCTTCTCTTTAGTCTTTAATTGTTAACTATATACAGACAGAATAACTCAAAGAATTAGAAAGGAGAATTAATCTTTTTATCCTATCTCAGCATATTTATTTAAACACCTATAAAAATATATTGACAACTGGATAAATTCTATTAAGTATATTCTTGCTTTGGGATCATGAACTGGGGAAAAGCACAGGCAGTCAAGGTAAAATGTCAGAAAATGTCATATTTGGAGAATGACAAGTCACTCAACATGGCCAGATTGTCAGGCTATATGACGAACTGAACTGCTGAATATCAGCTAACCTAAAGTAAAAAAGTGGACTCCCACTGGACATTACCACAACTGGACATTTTATTTAGAATAATTCAGGAAGAAAAATAGGATATATGAAGAGTACATATGTAGTTTTTTTTAAAAAATGCTATTTTCATTTTTCTAATATTAGCTACAATAGCTAAGTTACAATATCAAAAAAAATTCTAAGATGAAAGCAAATTACGAAGTATTACAAAAATTTCCTATGAGTTTTATCAGTCTACTGGGGGGAGGAAGCATTTAGATTAGTTGGGGGGGATTAGTTTTTACCTCTGATATCACCCCCAGCACAGAAAGCCTTTCCACCAGCTCCTTTTATAATGATCAGGAAAGTTTCAGGATCTTGTTCCCAATTCTATCCAAATGCAAAAGAAGATGGTAAAAGCATATTATAAATACAAACTATAAAAAAAATCTATATGCATATATATGCATATACATACATATATACATCTGTACAACTAGATACGTATCAATACATATATAAAGCACAAGCTTTATAAAGTACATCCAAAAGAATGGATCCCAACTTCATTTTCCTTTCTGACATAAATTAGAGACTATTTCAACAAAGTTGCTAGATGAATACATTTTGTGATCCAAATTGCATGATGGGAAAAAAAAAACAAATTGCATGATGGCATCTGCAATCTTTGTCGTGACAACTCTGAGACCAAGATGAAAAAGTATGGGCTTAAAAATATGTTACAGAAGCTTATAAATCTGGTGAAAAAATAGAGCAAAACTTTTCTATTGTGGTGATATAAGGCTCTGTCCTGACACATTGATAAGCAATTGAGTGAAACCACTTGTAGTGATCAAATCTTGAAATGATTTGAGGTGGGTAAGGACAGCCAATAAATAAGATGAAAGAATCAAGAACCAACGGAAATTTAAAAAACAAAAATAGACTAAAAACTCAGTTAACCAGAGACAGAAAAATTAACAGGAGCTCTATAAATTCTACACATTTTAATCTTGAGTTTAAAAATATAAACACACGATGAAAGATGTAGCTGGACAGACATGGCTGCCCAAAAAGCTAATGCAGTATTGGACTACAATAATAGAAATATGGCATTCTAACATAGAAGATTCTACTTTCTTCCATTCTAGTCCAATTCCAATCTGAAACACTTGGTTTATCTCTTTTTATTAGAAATGTATTATACAGTGTCCCAAATAGATACAACAGTATAGAAGAGAGACTGATCAAATGAAAAATTAAGGAGCTGGTAACCAGGGGAGGATTAGTCTCTGTGGCTGACCATGTGAGGCACACTATTTAACTTCATCTCCACCGCAATCCTGTGAGATACTATCATCCCCATTTCACAGCGAGGAAAATGAAGGACAGAGAGATTACCACTGCCAGGCTACACAGTCAATAAACAGAAATCCAAGTTTCAAACAAAGTAGTTGGACTGTAAGTCATGCTTTTCCACTGCACCATGCATTCTAAAATAGAAAAGCTTAGGATGGGTGCCTGAGTAGCTCAGGGGTTGAGCGTCTGCCTTCAGCTTGGGTCGTGATCTGAGGGTCCCGGGATCGGGTCCCACGTCGGGCTCCCTGCGTGGAGCCTGCTTCTCCCTCTGCCTGTGTCTCTGCCTCTCTCTCTGTGTGTCTCATGAATGAATAAATAAAATCTAGAAAAAAAAAACTATTAACAAAAAATAGAAAAGCTTATGGCCTTCTCTAAGAATAGGCTAGCCAAGCAGCTCAAAAACAGTTGTCAAAACGCTGTCACATGTAAGATTAGACTTATATACTCCTATCCCAAGAGGTTCAAGGAGTACCCCTGCTTAAAGGTCAGAGAAGCGGAGTGGTAAAACACACCAGCCTAGAGGTATGTAAAAGTGGAAGGGGCTATCCCAGGAGGCCATGAACTCCTCGCCACTAGAAATGCTCCAGGATAATCGAATAGGGAAGACTCAAGAAATCAATGGGGCTTGGGTGCTGGTCCCATAGATTCTGCAGAAGAGAATACCAAAAATGCTCTTTTGAGATACGCTTTTAAAAGGATCCAGAAAATTTGTTTAAGGAAATTACAAACCTTTAGCTGTGGGTAAATGTGCCTAATCATATTAAGATTCAGTGCATTTAGGAACTTTGGTCTGTTTAGTGTTATCACTCCTGCACAACCTCTTCTTTCCAATAGTACTTCTCCTGCTGCATCTGTGTGCTTAGACATTCCCTGTATTAAAAAAAAATAAAAATAAAAATAAAAAATAACTTTAGGATAAAACTCATTAAGGTTTTGTCACAAGCCAACATAAACCACATACAGGTATACCTCAGAGTGGATTCAGTTTCAGACACCACAATAAAAGAAATATTGCAATAAAGTCAAACAATTTTTGTTTTGTTTTCCCAACGCATGTAACAGTTACTTTCACGCTATCCTGTAGTCTATTAGGTGTGGGACAGCATTATGTCTGAAAAGTCAACGTATGTATCTTCATTAAAAAGTAATTTATGGGGATCCCTGGGGGGGCTCAGTGGTTTAGTGCTGCCTTCAGCCCGGGGTGTGATCCTGGAGTCCCGGGATCGAGTCCCGCGTCGGGCCCCCTGCATGGAGCCTGCTTCTCCCTCTGCCTGGGTCTCTGCCTCTCGCTCTATCTCTGTGTCTCTCATGAATAAATAAATAAAATCTTATTTAAAAAAAAAAGTAACTTATGGAGGTCTTGGTGGTGCAGCAGGAGGGCCCTAGGCTCATCTTGTCCCACAAACATAACTAGATGACTATGAAATCATTCTAAACACCCCAGAAACCAACCTGACGACTGAATTCTACAACTAAGAGGCCACAATGAAGAAGCCAAGTTAAATACGTGGTAAAATGTCATTGACCGGGGATCCCTGGGTGGCTCAGCGGTTTTGCAACTGCCTTTGGCCCAGGGCGTGATCCTGGAGACCCGGGATCGAGTCCCGCGTCGGGCTCCTGGCATGCCTGCTTCTCCCTCTGCCTGTGTCTCTGCCTCTCTCTCTCTATCATAAATAAATAAATCTTTAAAAAAAATGCCATTGATCTTGGAAGCCTGGACCTGCTTGGTAATCATGTTAACCTCGCTTTTTTATGACTGAATAAAGCTGACATTGTGCAAAGAAAAAAAAACCTGTAATTTATTGCTAATAAGCGCTAAACACCATCTGCACTTTGAGTGAGTCGGGTTCTTTCTGCTGGTGGAGAGCTTGACTCCATGTTGATGGCTGCTGACTGGTTAGGGTGGAAGATGCTGAAGGTTGGGGTGGCTGTGGCAGCTTCTTAAAATAAGACAACAGTCAAGTTTGCTGTATCAATTGGCTCTTCCTTTCACAGTTTCTCTGCAGCATGCGACGCTGTTTGACAGCATTGTACCCACAGCAGAACTTCCAAAATTAGAGTCAAATCACTCAAAATGCTGCTGCTTTATCTACTAAGTTCACGTAGCAGTCTAGATCCTTGGTCATTCCAGCAATCCTCACGGGTAGACTCCATCTCAAGAAATCCCTTTCTTCGCTCATTCATAAGAAGCAACTTCTCACTTGCTAAAGTTTTATCACAAAATTACCAGCAATTCAGTCACATCCTCAGGTTCTACTTCTAATTCTAGCTCTCTTGCAATTTCCACCATCTCTGCAGTTACTTACTCCACTGAAGTCTTGAACCTTTCCAGTCATCCATGAGGGTTAGATGACTAACCCTCAACTTCTTCCAAATTCCTGTGAACGTTGATATTTTGACTTCTCCCCTGAATCACAAATGTTCTTAATGGGATCTATAGTGGTGAATCTTTTCCAGAAGCGTTTCAATTTCCTTTGCCTAGATCCATCAAAGAAATCACTCTCTGGGGGCACCTGGGTGGCTCAATGGTTGAGCATCTGCCTTTGGCTCAGGTCGTGATCCCGGGGTCCTGGGATGGAGTCCTGCGTTGGGCTCTCCGCAGGGAGCCTGCTTCTCCCTCTGCCTGTGTCTCTGCCTCTCTCTGGGTCTCTCATGAATAAATAAATAAAATCTTTCAAAAAAAATAGAAAAAGAAATCACTCTCTATACCAGCTATATAGCTGTATGAAATGTGTGTCTTAAATAGTAAGACTTGAAAATCAAAATTGCTCCTTGATCCAGGGTTGTAGAATAGACGCTGTGTGAGCAAGCTCCATGAGAGCTCTTGGCTGACCAAGTACATTGTCAGTTGGCAATACTTTGAAACACATCTTTTTTTCTGAGCAGTAGGTTTCAACAGTAGGCTTAAAATATTCAGTAAACCATATTGTAAGCAGATAAACTGTCATCGGGCTTTGTTATTCCATTTATAAAGCATAATTCTTTTTTTAAGATTTTATTTATTTATCCATGAGAGACAGAGAGAGAGAGGCAGAGACACAGGCAGACGGAGAAGCAGGCTCCATGCAGGGAGCCCAACGTGGGACTTGATCCCGGGTCTCCAGGATCAGACCCTGGGCTGAAGGCGGCGCTAAACCCTGAGCCACCCGGGCTGCCCTCTAGCTTTTGATTTAAAGTGAGAGGCATAGGATTCTTCTGTTCACTTGAGGCCATGGTAGATTAGTAACTGGCCTAATTTTAACACTGTTGGACCTAAGGGAGGCCTACAGAGAGGGGGACAAGAGAACAGCGGGTCGATGGCGCAGTCAGAACAGATATAACATTTACCAACTAAGTTCACCATCTTATATGGGCACAGTTCATGGTGCTCCCAAAACAACTAAACAGTAACATCAAAGATCACTGATCATTGTTCACCAAAACAATAGTGAAATTTTTTTAATCATTGTGAGAATTACTAAAATGTGACACAGAGACAGTGAGCAAATGCTGTTGGAAAAATAGCACCAATAGATTTGCTCTACTGATGCAGGGTCCCCACAAAACTTCAATTTGTAAAAAACAAAAACAAAAACAAAAAAAATACAGTATCTGCAAAATGCAATAATATGAGGTATGCCTGTACATCAATGCAAATCTTTCACACAATGGTAACTATCAAATGGATTACTAGGTACATGTGACAAAGCTTTCTAAAATTACTGAGGTTCGGGGGTCCTGGGATCAAGTCCTGCGTCGGGCTCCCTGCTCAGTGGGGAACCTGCTTCTGCCTCTCCCTATGTCTCTGCCTGTGTCTCTGTTCTGTGTCTCTCATGAATAAAAAAAATCTTTTTAAAAAATTACTGAGGTTCAGTAGATAAGCAAAATGTACATACCAAAAGCACATACGCAGTATATACAAATGTACATACCAAAAGCACATACACAGTAATTAAGTCTTTTAATTTTTAAGTGGAGTCAAGTGATTTAAATAGAACCTAGCCCTAGAGTTACTTGGGCCATGAACAGTGTGTTTATTTTTTAAAAAATATTTTTTAAAGATTTATTTATTTATGATAGACAGAGAGAGAGAGAGAGAAGCAGTGACACAGGCAGAGGAATAAGCAGGCTCCGTGCCAGGAGCCCAACGCGGGACTCGATCCTGGGACTCCAGGATCGCACCCTGGGCCAAAGGCAGGTGCTAAACCACTGAGCCACCCAGGGATCCCCCAATCAGTGTGTTTACAATACCACCCACCCACTCTGTACATGGACACATATATATTTATACATAGAATGTATCTCTAGATTGATACACAAGACAGCTAAAATGGTTGCCTCCAGGAATGAAAATCAGACATTTGAGAGAGGGGTGGAAAGAATTTTTGCTGTGTGGCCCCTTTGAACTCTTTCAATTTTGTACCATACATATTTACTACCTATTCAAACCAATATTTTAAGTAATTTTTTTTTAAAAAATAAGAATAATAGATTAGGTTTAAAAGGTGCTAAGCCTGGGATCCCTGGGTGGCGCAGCAGTTTGGCGCCTGCCTTTGGCCCAAGGCGTGGTCCTGGAGACCCGGGATCGAATCCCACGTCAGGCTCCCGGTGCATGGAGCCTGCTTCTCCCTCTGCCTGTGTCTCTGCCTCTCTCTCTCTGTGTGTGTGACTATCATAAAAAAAAAAAAAAAAAAAAAAAAAAAAAGGTGCTAAGCCATCTCCAGAAGGGAACTTCATTAATACACTTTATTCCAGAGGACTTTCTTGTTTGACTGTCCATCAGTCACCTGGACCCCAGTAATGATCCCATATGTGGAAGAATTGGGAAGACAGGACAACATGCATATATGTGTGCACGGACAGCAGCCCCTATTTCCTGCTAAAACCATACACTGACTTCATGGAGCGCTCCAGAAGGGTTTTAAGGAAGAGTTTTCATGAAAGAAGGGCCAGAGAGCCATGAGCATTTTTGTTCTCCCACTGGAAATTCAACTGGATATAAGGAAGAGCAAATGTTAAATCATTTAAAGAGAGCTATTTTTTGTAGTTTCCAGTATGTAAATGTTTTGGTACATGATATTGTAAAATAGTGTTTCTCCTTACATTCTTACACATCTGTTGTGGTGTTTACTCATCCTCTAAGTTCTGCCTTTTAGAAATAGCAATACATTTTTTTAATCTCAAAAAAAGTATTAAGTCATATGACTTGTTTTCATACCTTGTTGGTACTAAAAAAAAATTATGGTAAAAGAAAACTATACATAAAAATCACAAAAGAAAGCAGACCAAAAGGGATGCCAAGTCCACAAGCAGACACAGCCCTCCCCAGACTTCAGCTACTGCCTCTCCTTCGCAGTCTGACTCTAGCAGCTGGAAGTGCCCGGCTTCTCAGATTTTCTTCCAAGTACCTACTGATCCACTTGTGTTAGTAGGTGAGAAGGTAGATGGTGAGTAACTTTTCTGACCCTCCAACTCCTCCTCTAGGCCCTTTCATAGCTTCTGTCAGTACTGTGGAAGTTCTTATTCCCATAATCTTTTTATTTCACAAAACTGCAGGGGAGGAAAAATAATTTTCCCTCTACCCTTCCAGATTCTTAGCTAAGACTAATATAGACAGATTAACAGTAGAAAATTTTCATTTCTTACGGGGGCTCCACAAAGATGTGAGACCCAAAGGCAGCCAGGTAACTAAGGCTCATAAACCATCCTGACATTAGGAAAGAAACTGGGTCTGGTACTTCAAATGGGAAGGACAGCAATTCACCCGGAAGTAAAAAGAGCAAATGTCTGGTAAGCAAGTGTTTGCCCTGCCATGCAGATAAGTCTCAAATATAAGAAGTTATACTCCACGTATCTCTGCTCTGTTCCTAGTACAATCCTCCTTTCTAGTT